AAGCGACCCTGTTTTCAAAAAAAAAAAAAAAAAAAAAATTCTGGCCGTTTTTTTGGCCCATCCAGTTTACCCGGGCGGACCCAACCGGTCGGGCCGAGCCCAGTCTGGCATGCCCAACCGAATGGCATTCCTACCGCGTCCCCGCACGAGAACATTCCGAAGTTCGAGGGCCAACCGATCTTCTGCGTCACCACGAAGACGGACCCGATTCGTGGTTTTGCCAGTTCCACCTCAAGCTGGAGATCCACAAGACCCACGATGCCAGCCGACACGCATACTTATACTCCCGATCGCGTAGCACGTGCCAAGCTTGGCTGGAGAATATGTTGTCTAGGCACGAGGTTACAGTTTTCGAACTCCATTCAAAGATCAGTTGGGCTGATTTGAAGGCAGCGCGGCTCAAGCGATTCCAAGTGGAGCCGCCCGAACATCAGGCAATGGACAAATTGTTGAAGTTCTATCCGAACACGATGCCAAGCAGAGATTGGATCGCCAAGTATCAAGGCTTGGCGTCTAGGCTGGAGTTACCAATGGGCTTCAAAGGCCTCAAACACTACATCACGAGGTCGTGTCTGGGATTGTCAAACGCTTTGACATAAGTCACGGAGATTCTCACCACAAGTGCGGAGCTCTTCAACAAGGCCGCGCAGATTATAGTGACGAACACAGAAGCCAAAAATATTGTCCGCCTACTGTGGGTCCGAGTAGAGAACAACATCGATAAAAAGTGGTCGTGGTCGAGGCAGCAACGCCCATCGTTCCTTCAAGCGAGGCTTCTTCAACCAATGAGGGAGATAGACTCGCAGCCGCCCGGGATGGTGGCTGCCTCGGTAAAGACCGAGGACATGGCAGATCCAAGACCAACACCTCTCCAAACCCCGCGCCTGGTGCAGCAGCTCGAGACCCTTGGACCCACTACGGTCTTTCGAAAAGCGTATACAAAATACGCACGAAATTCCAATACTGTTTGTGGTGTAACATCGACCTCCACGAGACAATCGTTTGTCCTTTGAAAACCAAGTGCGAACCCCAGTTGGGAAAGTGAGCACCTTTGAGAGTGATGCGGCGACACTCTCGACACCTTCGGATCTGGTTGCGGCACGAGCAACCTCCCTTGGTTCCGAGGCACATGCGGAACTTGATAATCCTCTCATTCTATATTCTTACGACTATGTTGCCCGGCTCGTTCCTTCGCTGGGTACTCATGCTCAAAGACAAGATGTGTGTGCGGTATTTTCTCCTTCCGGCAACAACAACCATTTATCGACTTCAAGTGGTTCTTCATGGGATTCGGCGCGTGAGTTCAACATAGAGGTATTGGACCCGTTAACGTCCGAGGATTTCACTTGGCTTCCTCAGCTAATTACAGGTTGCTTGTATGAACCGCAATGCACAGCACTATGCTCTTATCTTCACACATATGTATCCTTCTATGCACCACTAACTTCGTCGACGGATGGCGAAGTTGCGGTGGGGGACATCCTTGCATATGTTTTCAAGGTGGCCCACAAGTTTCACACGCAGTGGTACGACGATAACAACACACCGCTTCTCTACGTCCGCATCCAAATTGGGCAAGTGTCCAGCAACGCTTTGATGGATAGCGGCGTGACTCGCAATTATACGAGTCAGTCCTTTATCCTAAGCGCCGACCTAGGCGCACAAGTTCGTGGGAAGGCTAATCCTACGATGGTCAAGTTGGCGGATAGACGAATGCAACAACTTATTAAGCACTACATCGAGGTCGTACCTCATGCATGCAAACTGATGACGTTTGACGTCTTGGACACGGACTTCGACATCATTTTGGGGATCCCTTGGCTTGCAAGTGCGGATCATATGGCAAACTTCCATCGGGGGATACTCATCGTTCGCGGGGCCTTTGACACTTAGGTGTCGTGTCCTCACCCTTCGATTCAGTGTCAAGTTGTGACGACCAAGTCGTTTTGGGCCCTTGTGCTTATGAGCAGCCCGACGAGATTGACCTACGCTTTCTCCAAACCGTCGAGATAGCTGACTGTTCACCCACGGACTTGTCTTCGGACCCCAGTGTGGTGCGGTTGGTTGAAGAGTTCGCCAACATCTTTGAGTCTCCTACCGGTGTGGTGTCGGTGTAGGCCCAAACTCTTGTAGACTTTTGAGCCTTGGTCGACCCCACTACGGATCCCATTTAGCTCGGCCCGCCCACGCATATGCTCAGGGCGCGGGCCGTTCGTCCCAGGGTAACCCCCACCTAGTGCTTTGAGATGGATGGGGGTGGACCGTTGTAGGGCCAAACCCTGGTAGACTTTCGAGCCTTAGTCGGCCCCACTACGGGTCC